AAGCCCCCCCCCCCCCCCCTCTTATTTTCGGCACTAGTATGACCATATTGTGTTGCAAGTGAGGTAAAACTCTTTCTAAAACTAAACTAAATTTAACTGTATGATATTACTTTTGTAACTTACACGCGCGTTCGTATGGCCTTATACAGTTGCAAGTGCTGTAAAACGCTTACCGAAACATGTTCTTGTTTCTATCACGTATAGGAGGGACCAAAACACATTAAAAAAAGTCCAACCGCTATGTGCAAAATCTCATATTCTAGTTTGTCACCTTACTTTCAAGTGCCAGTAGCACGTTTTAAATTAATGTACTTAAGATTTTGGATGAATACTGTACCAAGAAAATATTTAAGAGGGCTCGAACGTAGTGTTTAATTATTTTTCTTTCTTTTATTTTTTGTATCCTCCTGTGCCGCGAGTGTTCTGTCTGTCACTCTGTGCAGTACAGTCTAGCAGCGTATCAAAGTACATTCATTTATACTCAATTTACATTTGTATCACTATTAGCATAGCATGTTCTCGTTCTGTACACTTTGGCGTGTACTCGAGGATGCAAGTGTTTGTCTGTCGCCGTATTTCAGCCACGCCACCCTTTCATTTGCCTGGGAAAGTTCTTAATTCACTTTTTTTTGGGGCCGGAGGAGGGTTTGAACTTCTTAACCCTTATGGGGAAAAAGGAACAGCTCGGGGAAGAAAAAAAAAGAAGTGTTGGTAGCCTAAGCGTGCAGGCTCATGTCATCCATCGTTGAGTGCTCTCTTCGACGGTCTGTGGGCTGTTACGAGCTGTAACGATGGGAAAGTGAAACCGAGAAGGGACGGATTGGTTTGAATTCGGCCCGGGGGGGGGGGGGGGGGGGGGGTAGATTCCAGATTGAGTTAAAGAGAAGGAATCCCTGTTGTAATAATGATTTCGTGAACATAACTAAGCAGATCCACCTAGACAGACAGCAGTGTGACAGAAAACTATTTCGGTCACCGGTGACCACCATAGCGTCATCAAAGCACGTTCTGTTGTTCCCCATGCCATTCTGTGGGCCAGACAAGCTGCATGTATGGAGACAGTAGACAGACATGGGGTCTTTGCTCACCTGGTCTCCGCATAACACGCGCGCGTGTCACTCATTCTTCTGCCGCAGTGGAAAGTCAGACCTCGGTTCCGATTGGTCACGGTGTAGGGAAAAAGCCGGAAGGCACATTTTTTGGTCGTCTCTCGTTAGCAGGGAGGCCGAATTGGATCGCAGGATGAAAAAACATCTATATATAGAGTTTCCTAGGACGGTATAGTTTAGTGTGTACAAAAACTACACTCCGAAACATCAGGGAAAAGTGTCATTCATTAATCGTTGTCCGTGTGACCCTCCAAACCATTGTACAAGGAGCTAATTTAAAAAAATGTAAAAAAAAACCCCAAAACCCAAACAACACTAACACAAAACAACACCCCCCCCCCACACACAAAAACAAACCCCTAACAAACTACCCCTCATAGAGAAAAGAACAGAAAAAACCCAAACAAACCATACCCATTTCAAATAGTAGTTTCTGTTTTCAGCTAACTAGTATAGAGAATCTTTGAGGAAAACAGTGTACAGTAAGCGCCCCTCTTAAAATTTATTTCGTTCAGAAAGCATAACATACTCAACATGCTCAACACTCCCCCCACCCCCTCCCTTCCCCACCATCTCGAATCCTTTCTTTGTCCTCTGGTGTGGTTTGCTCCTTCTTTCCTATCAAACATCTATCGTCCTTATCTCCCCTTCTTCTTTTTTTATGTTTGTTACTCTCTTGTAACACCTCTAGTCCTCTGACGCTCATATGACCTTATGCAGTTGCGAGCGCCGTAAAACCTCTACTAAAACTAAACTAAAACGAATCCTTTCTTTCTACTTTTACTTATGCTTATATG